ATTAAAGTAGTACTGTTGATATTTTAAGAAGTCTGCTGGGAATAATTATTTATCAGTATAGAATGAGTTTTACGATCTTAAGATGAATCTTGCGTCACTTGCTTAGGTCATTACTTTATAGAAAGTTCAGGCTGAAAAATATGAGTCATTTACGATGGCAGGATAGTTTGTCCCCTGAGGAAATGGACCTACTGACACCAAAGAATTTTTTGCTACGAATTTCTGACATAGATTGATTTCCTTGCGTACTTATGTCCAAATATTGTTCTATAGGGAATATCAACACGTGTGGGCGGTATAAGATGAAATTAAAGACAAGAAGACGCTTTATTTGATGATATATAAAAGACTTTATTCATTTTTCTTTTTTTCTATAATAATTCCGATACAGGAGCACAATCAATTAGTCAAAATGAGGTTTTATAAAAAAAAATAGGGAACACAAAATTTTTTAGGACTAGTTTCATCACAGTAACACAAAAAAAGTAGCACAAAAATTGTTTAACAGGAACGATAACAGAAGCTTGCACCATAATCGAAGTACACCAATCACAAAATCTAAACATCATAATGTAAGAATTTGCCGCGCAGCACCTGAAACATAAGAGAAAATGTTGATTTGTAGTTAACTCCAAGGCTTGTAGACAGAAGTCACTTTGACAAAGGGAAGACTACAGAGGCAAACTACAAAAGACTACATCAGAGACTATGAAGTGGAATTTACAAGGACTAATTACTACAGGAATAATAATGAAATACCATTCCAGATTACATATTTACAAAAAAGAAAAGAAAACCAAGAAAAAAAAATAGACTAGTAGAAAATTAAAGGGAATGAAATTAAAAAAGTTTTTAACGAAATAAAATAAAAAAAAACGAGGGGCAAGGAACATGCAGAAATTGCTCAGGTATTTACATATTATGAGTAAAACAAAATAAATAAATACACAATAAATGGTAAAAGATAAATTAAACAGCAGACAGAACAAGAAGGGGAGGGAAAATTTGTGAAGGAACTTTGAGCTGCATAGAGGCGTAGAGAATTTTATGTCACAGAGAATTAGCAAGGTTGGACAGCAGCTGTGATGGATGTGTAAATGTAATGCCTGAAAATTTCTACATCAAAGAACATATTGGGGTTCTCATTTTGAATAATTTTCAAAGCATAGAACGAAATGAACACCCCGCAACTAACTCTGTCTTGTTGCAAATGATGTTTCGGTGATTCAGGCTTTGCCCACGCTGAAAGATTCTCATGGAGAATTACACTTAGGACCTGGTTTAACCTAGATAGACATTGTAAATGACTTGCGGAGATCCCTTCGCAAATTGGATCAAAAATAAGGATTTTCTTTTCAAAGAAATTAAAAACAAAGAGAATCCAGTGACCATTAGTATTTACAGGAATGATAAGATATTTCAGAGCCCTATAATTAATTGAGGGCAATACAAGCAGAACATCTTCTGAGGATGAATTGCAGTCAAGAATTGCTTGAGTAAAAGCAGTTTCAAGGATGAAAATATTAGATTTTTGGTGGCTATGAATACGTAAAAAAATGTTGATTACAGAGTCGTATAGCCAGCCCTTGACAAAATCTTTAGCTATTTTGGTCAAAAATGCGACTTCTGTATTAGAGATGTTAGGGTCAACAGACTTAAGTTCCAGTTCGCTGACATGAAGATCTTCAAACCTGTAAGACTTGGCTGCACTTTTAGAATCTGTTAAAGGGGATGAAAAGATTTGTCCTTTCTTTCTCCGGGCGAAATGAGATTTTGGTGACGTTTTAAGTGAAACAGCTTCAGGAATCATGCGTAAGAATGTAATTGGGTCAGGTAGAGAGCTAAGTTCCAACTGAGAAGTTTCGGTGGTAATGTTGCTTTCTGCTGCAGTTGAAACTTGTGGGGGTAAAACCGAATCAGGATGAGAACTCAATTCGAGCTGGAGTGTTTCAATTGTATTTTCCTCCTCTCTTGCAGCTGAGCCATTTTTCTCATTTGAACATTCAATATGTTTGTAATTCAGTAATTCTTGAGATAAACATTCAAGCTCTTCTCTGTTCGGTTTTGCATATGACTTGCAAGAAATTTTTCTCTTCTTGATGGTTTTATACATCCTTGGTTGGCACGGTGACTTCTGGTTTGGAGCAAATGAACAGGGCATGGGCGGAACCGTTGCACTTGATTTCTTTGTTGATAAAGAAGGTTTGAAGGAGATTTGTACCTCCGATTCTTCAGGTTGTGATTTACAGAAACTGATTTCTGAACGAAGAGATGTTAAAATGTGAGACCTAAGCTCTGAATCTGAGTTCTGCATAATTCTACGCAGTTCATCAACAAGAATGTCGAACTGAGCTGCCTCATCTTTGTTACTTGCGTTACTGCTGTTATTTTGGTTTGCAGAGGTCCCATCATTATCGTCACTCCTACAAAATTGTGTGAGGCAAACTTCTTCTTCAACATCAATTGTACTGATTTCAACCGCATTACACTCGGGATTCATAGCCTCTTCATCTTTTTCACAACTTTCATTTGAAATTTGTGCATTCTCATTATCATTGCTTATAATAGTCACAGACCTATGCTCATTACGAGTCGAGAAGGAATGAATTCTGTGTATGTGCTTGCACATACCTACTTTATCAGGACAGTTACAATCATACAGGTGAACACAAAGACCAAAACATGACATATTATTGCATTTATCGTAACAATGATCAAGATTACATTGCTCAATCTTTTTAGTAACAAGATACAGTACTTCCTTCCTTTTCACAGACTTTACTAACCACTTGTTATTTGAGAGAGTTGTTATAGCTGAATGCGGTATTTTCATACTTCTGCTATGACGAGCATCTGGTTTATTAAAATCTTTGTGTGGTTCACCTTTTAGGCGCCTATCTTCCAGTTTCAAGTATCTTTCATGCTCCATATCTTCTAGGAGCTCAATTAAATCATCCATTCTTAAATTACTTGATCTTTTTAATCTGGATTTCAAGACTCTATGAAAAGACTCCACAAAATTATTGGTATCCAAACCACAATGATAATAATTTCGGTAACACATTGCCCATAACTTTGGTCTATCACCATTCAAGTAGTAAGTTCGAAAATATTTTAGGAATCGAGAATACTGGGAACCAGAAAACTTTTTGAGGAAATTTTTCAACTTAATTTTAAAATTTTGAACATTTTTTTCATCTATGAGTACTCTTAAATAATTATTGATGAGGCGTCTTAACATTGGCCTGCGAATTTTGTTTAAATTCTTTTTCCATGCATTGAGGATATGCCACTTACATAGTAGATGTTTTCCATCCCAATTGGGATTATCTTTTGAGAAGACAGATTTGAAAGACTCCCATAAGGCAGGATCATCATCTGTCATAACAGTGTGGACAGGTAAATGTGGACACCTTTTTTTAATAGAGCGAAAGAGAATTGACATGACTTCAGTATCCAGATGATTGGTTACAAACTGAGCAACAACCAAACCATTCCCAAATTCATCCGGAATCACAATATTTAAGAGGTAAAAATCGTAACGATTTGTTTTGTGAGTGGCATCAATACACAGGCCACGACTAGATCCCTCTTGCATTTCTTTTAACTGTCGCTCAGTTTGAAACCCATACACAAAAAGATCTTTGTTATATGGTAAGCTATCAAAATTTGCATCTCCTATATAAGTAGAACATCCTTGAGGCTTATAAATTAAAATATCTTTTTTTTCTTCGTCTGTCATAAGGTCAACACGTTTTTTAATAGATGTTGCATCATCATCGTCTTTTCGTTTTGCCTTTTTCAGCAAGAACTTGTACCTTAAGATTTCCCTAGTTGTCATGTGATGTTCTTTCAGGGGATAATGGATCTTTTCGCCTTTTTTCATAATGAATTTTTTTCTAATAACATCTGCACTAACACCTTCATCCAGAAGACGCTTAACTTCTGCCCTGGTTTCGGGTTGCCAGCGGTGAAAAATGTTGTTTTCCTTTGTGAGAGAATGACAGTGACAAGAGATGTACTTTACTTCAACTTCTCCCGACTTTTTGACCCTTGCTATTATTTGAGAGGGGCATGACCCCTCTGGAATTTGACCGTACCTTCTTTTCCTTGCTGTTCTTCGCTGCTGTTTAATAGTTAAAAGAGAACGCTTCTTACGATAAAACATACATTTATAATAGTGAATGCTTTCTTCCTTAAAAACTACAGTGCCCCGTACTTTTCTTTGATATGAAAAACTTTCATGCTCTACTTTTTTTTTCCATTCTTTGAATTTAGCAAAATTATCAAACTTTATAATCTTGGTTGCTTCTTTTAGATGAAAGCTGTTTAAATGATAAAACATGCTCTTACTTGACCTAAAAACCCTATTACAATTAGTGTACGTACATTTTACATTAAAGTTTTCACAATTTAATGTTTGATGCTTCTTAAAGGATAATTCACAGGAGAACGATGCATGACAAGTCGCACAAGAGGAATGATAATTGTTCTCATATAATTTTGCTTTATATTCCTGACACTTTTTTTTGTGGGAGCAATAAGACACTTTATTCTTGTAGGTTCTACAGCAATTTTTACATTTTCGAGGATACAGAAACATAATTTTGGTTTCATTTTCCTTACAATTTCTTTGGTGCGTTTTTAGATTGGTCTTTCGCGTTAAATTTTTTTTACAAACAGGGCAAATTAATTTCTTACATCTAATTCCTGCGCACCAAAATTTACGGTGACGATAAAATGATTGTTTCGTTGTATAACTTTTTAAACAATCGTCGCATATTCTAGGATACTGAATACTCTTGACAGGGGCAGATTTTTCTGGAGAGCCTGAAAAACTGTCGAAAGATATGCCTTCCTCAAGTACAATACTGTTACTAGTAGGTGAATGAGGAGGTTTCTCTGGGACTGAAATACATTTTTCAGAAACTGTACAGGTCTTTTCTGTAGCACAGAATGGAATACAAAGTTTTTTATGGTTGAAAAATGACTGCTTTGATTTGTACGTTTTACAGCACTGTTCACATGATCGGGGGTATACAATGGATTTTTCGGAAACTGTGCAGTTCTTTTCTGAAGAATTGGTAGGAACACAAATTTTTTTATGGTTATAAAAAGACTGTTTTGTCAGATATGTTTTACAACACTGTTCACATAATCGGGGGTACTCAACCTTAGCACCGCCACCATTAACAGGACGATAAGATGGTACAATTGATTGAATAAATTGACGATGTGGATGAATAACATTTAACGTAGTTTTAAAACTTAATTTAGTAACATCTAAGTTACTTTTCTTAGGTAATTGGCTAAGATTAGACATCACAGCAGGCGATAAACAAGCTAGAGGTTTTCTAGGAGAATGTCTCCGTTGATTGGCAGGAAGGTGAGCAGGCTTAGTGCCTGACTGACTAGACAAGGGTTGAGCAGAAGATAAAAGAGAGAAATAAGATGACACAGACCTGGAAGGATTGCGCTTTCGTTGAGTGGCAGGAAGGTATGCACACATTGTGCCAGACAGACTAGACAAGGGTTGAGCGGAAGGTAACATAGAGCAAGGAGACGACACAGATCTGGAAGGAGTGCACTTACGTTGGGTGGTGGGAGAGAGCGTAGGTTGCGTAATCAACTGACTAGAAAATGAGACAGAGAAAGAAGGAGGTGAAAATGGGAAAGACAAGGGTTTAGAGTATCCAGTGGTGGCTAAAGAAGGCCGGGGCAGAGAGGTTTTTGACTTTTGGCTCTTTGACGACGTCAAAGCAGGAGATAAAAGGAGTGCATCTCGGTACGAGAAACCGCGAGGAGGAACTGTAATGGAATGTGGTGCTGCGGGTGTGGTGGTCAATGCAGATTGTGGTAACGACCAGAAGGCTGAAGGAGGGGGAGGAGGTGGGGTGAATACAGATGACTGAGTCATGACAAGAGAGGAAAGCATACTAACTAATAAATTTTTAATACCATTAGGCGTCAAGTGTAGTCCATCCCGTGACAGTAACCATCTCTTTACTACTCCTTCTTCCATAAAGTGGGCACTGTTGTCAATGAAGTAACAATTTGGAAACCTGAAAAAGAACAAAAAAGGAAATGAGTGAATTAAAATCTGGATATATTATCAACATAGAAAAGATTTCCATTGCAAAAAATGATGCAGTTGAGGCTTGACTGTTTTAACTAAGTGGCTAGCACGTCACTCGGAAAAAAACGGAGAAATTACAGAATAACTTTCTCTCAGAAAATAAAAGTTTTTGGTAGAAAAACCAAAATTATTTAAACTTTCAGGTATTCAGGGGTACAAAAACTTATTAGCTTTAATAATTCTGTGTACATAAGACTACTATACATTTTTTGAGGCATCCTTTAAACTGCTGTCCACATAAGACTGCGCGTTTCACTACTTTCTTCACATGAAAGAGCGCATGATGCAGTTCTTGTTGCCATAAGTAATGCGTTTAGTAATTTTCTTATGAAAGATACATTCAATAATTTTTTTCACAAAAATGCTTTCTGGCTTCACATTTGTTTCCCTCTATTAAGGTGCCTTCACATTTTTCCCACAATATGTTGACAGAGTATTTTCTGCACCTCTGCAGGTATTTTAGAGATCAAGCTTTAGTTGCACGATTATAACAACTTTGCATTGTGCTATACCTCTCTTTTACTAAATGCAATCCAATTCATCATTATGTTGCTCCGATAGGTACACCTAATTTATAGATTTTGCTTCACCGAAGAGGGATCAGCATATCAAAATTTGATTACAGACTTCATGTGGCATGTGCCTTTTTGGTCAGGAACAAAGATAATGTGGTCCTTTTCTAAAAATAAAATAAATTTCATGATCTTTACTACCTAATACAGCAAGTGGTAAAAAAATCATTTGAGGAGATAAAGGCTGGCATAAAAGATAACTCACCGAGAAACAAGAGACTTGTACAGACAGTTTAAGGTTGCAGAACGATCATTCAAGTGCTCGATTTCTTCAGGTGATCTCCTAGTGCCAGGGAAGAAGCTGGATGCTCTCGGTAGAATGCTTGAGACGTACATGGTGCAATGAGGATTCAAGCTACGAATTTCCTTTAATAAGGACTCCATCCTCCGTTGGGTTGCAGCAGGACCTTCCAATGGGATGTTATTCGTTCCGAGATGAAGAATAACATGATCTACACCCTTAACTGCCAGCATACCTTGGATGTTCACATCTTGCACCTTTCTTCCTGAGACAGCATTCACAGTTACCTGAACAAAAGAGAAAACATGAAAATAATTAGTATCAAACGCTTCACATTATGAGTAGAAGAATAGGTAATTCTTATGTAATCACATTTCTGAAACAAAAATGAATGGCGCTAGATGCATGTTGAACCCAATATGGTAATCTGAAAGTGATAAGGAACTAGAAATGCAACCTAGTGCTTGGTGGAAACTGATTTTGATTCCTGGGGGAATTAAATCTTACATTGTAAATTATAAAGGAGCTTATATCATGGAGTTCCCTGCTAGCACAGCTCGGATCGGTAAGGTTTTAGAAACATTCCACTTGTGTCGACTGATCCATCTCGTTGAAACATATTAGAAACATTTCAGTGACGCAAAAACTTTGAACATTTCATTGAAATATATCCAAAACATTTTGAAAATGTTTTCAAATTGGAGATGTGTTGTAAAGGTATGAGAAACATCTATCGGACGTATCTGTGAAACAAAATTTAGGGGTGACATAGAGTTGTTTTAGAAACCTTTTCAAAACCGTCTGGACACATGATATGTTTTCAAGATGTTTCATTGAAATGTTTTAAAGACATTTTTTCGGATCAATGACACATTTTAAAAACATTTTCAATCTGACCTGTGCTACTAGGGTACAGCAGTAAAATTTTACTATGTTAATCGAAATGCTGTTGTAATCAGTGAAATCTGTCTCTTGGAAGCTGAGGGGCAGGAAGGATGAGAGGCTGTCGCATATGGGCCCAATAGTAGTATTGTCGGAGAAGTATTCGTTTCCGAATATCCGCCATAAAATCTTTCGATTTTAGGAGGATATTCGAAAACGAAAACTTCTCCGACAGTATTTGGGCTGCTACAGAGTGAAAAAATCAATAAAGGTACTTTTATTTCCTCATCTTGGTGAGCACTTTGAACAGTCGAATCAGGAGGTGGGGTATAAACGCGGGAAGTACAAGCAGGAACAGATGTATCAATATAAATTGCTAGGCTGTAAATTCATCATAAAAGTGCCGATAAAATTCAGAGTACCAGATTTTAATTCTCTGAGAATTGAGCATTTTTAATACTGCAGCTCTCCACTCATCTCAGGTACGAGTGATTGGTCAGACGTTACATGCACCATCCATGGAAAACTCTATAAGTAACCATTCAATTAATAGTTACGGTTGATTTGCAAATAAATATGAGTTTCCTATCATAAATGAGTCATCCACTGGTGGTAATTGATTGACTGCTATTTAAGACCACAGCTACTTCAGATCTTTCGCAAAGAAAGGTCTTGAAAAAATAGGCTAGGGTTTTAACCAATGATGCACGTAGAAGATAAATCAGATGAGAGGCAGAACAAGATTCTTAGATGTTGCTGCAACAAGTCATAACTGTCCAGTTAATTTTGGAGCAGTTTTAAAAATGGAAGGTAAGGTGTGCTGTACCAACACAAGGCTCAAAACAGCAAAAGTGCTCCTTCAAAAACTGGAGCCGCTTTTTATACGAGAGAATTTGAACAGGGAATCACTAGTTGGGGTCCCATCAAAATGTGCCACATGTGATTTAAATCAGTAGTTAATGGATTTGCATTTGCTGTGAGTGAATGACTTCCACGATCTACAAATAGATAAGTTAGGAGGAAAGGCAAAACGCAGATGTAGTAGCCCCCAATTAGAAAAACAATATCGACAAACAAGTCTCATCTAAAGGGTAAGGAAAAAGACCTAGGATTCCCTACTACCAGGCTAAGATTACGATATCCATTGAGGTTTACTAATTATAATCATTAGGATCGAGTCTCTAAGGGAATTGAATGGGTTGTCTATCAAAAATTGGTAGAGAAATACCATTTTTTCTAACACAGACACATGTTGCACACTTGTATGTACCCTTCATTCCTCATCATACAGTGACGTGAAATTGATAGGAATTTAACAGCAAATTGAACTGTATGATACTAATTAATACTGTAAAAGTAAAACTGAACAAATATTTGTAATTGAGAGGGAAACAGAATTACATACCTCCAAAGTTAGCGACGGCTGCAAGTAACCATCGAAGTACTTCGTCTGAGATGCTCCAATTATCAGCACACGTTTCAATACCATTATGGCGATAAAATGTCTTTAGCATACATGCAGGAAACTTTACAATTAAAGTCGGCACTTTCAATCACAATTCACGATTCACCAAAGAGAATTCACACCAGAGAAAACATAAATACGATTCACACGATTCACGTACGGGAAAGCAAGAAGGAACCAAAATCCAAAATGGCGGCGACGGCTTGCCGAATGCCGGTACAGTTTACTGTTTACTCGATAGCAGCGCGGCCTACACGGTAAACGGCGGAAGTACACTTCGGTACACCTCACGGTACACTTCGAAGTCAACATTATCAGACATAAACAAGTTAATGCGTTTTGGCAACATAGCGCCCGTTAGCAAAACCCGAAGTTTTGGGTGTACGTGCTGATCTCTACAGGATTTTTCGTGACCTACAAAAAAAAT